GACTGAGATTAATGATATCTCCAAATGGTCCTGCCAGAAACAATGAGGAGTGGCTGGTATGGATTTTCGAGTATTAATAAATAATGGGTATTTTCATTATTTATTAATCTATCAATTTCTTTTTCTGTTAAAAGTTGACTAATGAAAAATGCTAAATTATTTTTATGTGTACGTTTATAACCAGAGTGGAAGAAGCAAAAAAGCAAATACTTACTCGTATCAATAGAGAAATGGTAAATGGATGGTGTTTTTGATAAGAAAGATGACTTTAATGATTAACACCGTAGTCACTAAGTGGCTTGTATCTTTGCTAATCATCTTATAAGTACAATAAAGCTGGATTACCTGTATAAAGCTTAGGAAGACCTGCCTGTCATGCATGCATAGTGTGATCTGAGTGTGTGTGGGTGTGTTCATGCTCTCATGTGAGTCTCGATGTATTGTGTCTGTGCGTGAGCTTTATCACCTGTGTTTGAGGTGTGCCTCCAGGTCACAGCGCGGCATGCTGAGGGAGCAGACTGGGGTCAAAGGGCAGGACACAGACAGCTTGTCCAGTAGCTTGTGAACCAGTATGCTGGACCTGCGGCACGCCTGGAGCTGCAGCCGCGTCCTGTCCAGAGGACAGAAGTCCCTCTCCTGGAGGAAGCTGCGCAGGCAGCGGGCACAGAAGGTGTGTCCACATGGCGTATCCAGTGGTTGCACCAGTGGCTGCAGGCAGATGTGGCACACCAGGTCGTCGTCCACTTCCAGGCGGTAGTTGTATAGGTGGTTCTCCCTGTTGCGGTGGATCTGGCCACACTCGGGGCACAGATCTTCAAGTGCCGGCTCCACCGGCCCGACTAGACCCACATCGCAGCCCGGACTGCCCATCTCTGTTCCCTCAGCACAACTCAGCTTTGGCACAAATGACTCCAGTGGTGCTGCAGTGTTGGGAAGGGGCACACACTCCTATCCCATAAGCTTCAGAGGATGAACAGGTTGCAGAGAGGACAGATGCCCCCCAGTGGCTGATGGCACATCACCCTGTGGGTCAGAGGTCAAAGCAAGAAGGTTAAACAGCTGTTTCAGAAAAACAACAAGTGTCTGATTATTTGCATTTATTAATGTGGCAAATGCTTTGTGCACGTGGTTCCACGTGTCGTCATGAGAACGAGAGTGGTACAGTGTGTGTGTGTGTCAGTGAGTGTGCTGAGATTATGTATTGCTGCTCCTGTCCACTAATCTGGCAGTATAATCTCTCTTTTGCTCTCGCCTGCTGCAATCTTCCAATTCCACAGAGAGGGAATTATCTGGGATTGAGGCAGAGAGAGGACACAGATCAGAGGAAGTGAGAGGGGAAACGCAACAGAGAGGGAAAGTAGTGCCAGACAGAGGAAGAAAGAAGAAGAGACAGAGTGGGGAAGAAGGGGAAGTGACAGGAGGAAGGGTTGAAGGAGATCATGGGATGTAAAAATCTGAAAGAGGCATAAAACAAGAAAAGAAAAGGAGACAGGAGAGAGGATGGGAGGGAGCAGAAAGGCATTGAAGTACACGAAAGAGAAGGAAATTCTTTAAACATTCCCCTCAGCGAACTTGATATTTTTGGCTCAGGCCATGTGCAGTAGATGCACTCAGTCTCCTCTGCAACAGAGAGAGAACATGCCTGAAGCAAAGACTTGAAATAAAGCACTCCAGTGAGCAGAGTGAGCTCCCACAGCTAATGCACCCTGTGTACGCTGATCATTTCCACAGTGTTTCACATCCACAGCCATCCGCGTCCTCAGCCCCCTCGATTAGCCGAGCCCCCCGTGGGCCTGGTTGCTTTCAGCAGACGGCAGAGGGCGTACCGCGGCACACAGCAGGCCAGCCAAGCCACACTGACTACCTGCCTCTGTTCCAGTGAGGGTCTGCTCCTGTCTCCATGACGACCTGGAGCCTGTTCTGTTCAGTGGGGCTTGACATTCAGAGTGTAGCTGGAGACGGATGCAGAGGAGCCACAAAACAGATGCACTTCTTCTCTCAGCAGGATGCTCTCCTCCTCCCTGGTACAGCCTGAGCGCTTGTCAGGCGGCCCAGGCAATGATGAGAGGCCCCTTGGTTCCCTTTTTGCTGCTTTTTGCGTCTCGTCTCTCCGTTGCTGTCCATTTCCGTGACAACCTGTCTCTCCTGTCTCCTTGGCTACCGGACCTGTACTCACTGATTTCAGCCTCCTTTAAGTACGTGCTCCTGTCTGTGTGTGACTGGCTGCTTCTGTCTCTATCCCGCAGCTGGACATGAATTAATCATGAGGACACAAGGCTTCTCTGTTCCTATAACAAAGCTGTGACATCACCACATCTCACATACTCACACACAGACTTGTAGAGTATAAATCTACACAAGCAGAACCAACACACACACGCGCATCATGCACAAGAGCTTTTTAGGTACCTGATCCTGCGAATGGTCTTTATCAATAAGTAAAGTCTTCAGGTTTTCACTGTGGCAGCAGTTTAGAGCGTCAGCCATGAAAAGCACTTAAATCTATTTTAAACACAGCTGGACTCTGAGGCAACAGATTTCTTTAGTCAAGTCATACGAACAGTGGGAAATGTTTGTGACATATCTTTCGTTTTAATCTCACTGTGCACGATTACGTGTGTGCGTCTGTGTGAGAGGCCAAGGCCATGCTGTTATTGTCATTGCACTGCTTTCAATATTAATAAATAACAGTGCAGGCCCTGCACCTGCTCATTTTATTTTCATTTTTCAGCCATGGCAATCTAATCTTACCACCAGCTCGTGCACTACCTCACATGCAGGAATGACATTTTCAGATAAGATGAGATGATGTTTTAGGCCACAGATTTAAAATCTGAGGTCCTGTCGGCTTAGCCTACATTCTCATAAAACCCCATCTCATCCTCTCTTATCTTAGACACACACACACAAAAAGGCTGTTAGCCACTTGGAAAAACCGGGCCTGCTGTTGTTCTGTTGCTGCTTTCAGACAATAACAACAAAAACTGACACTGATTTCGTTTCAGAGGTGCAAACATTCTTTTCAGCCCTGAATCACCTTGGCAAGGCAGCAGCTGCACTGTCATCATCTATGAGCAAACCGGGGCGTCGGACACGTTTGATGAGAGCAGAGCATTTTGAATCATTGTCCCCATCTGTCTGACTCCATCCCTCCCTCCAGCAGCGGAGCAGCGAGGACACAAGAGGCGACAATGGTGATATCAGTGCTCAGGCAGCCGCTCACTGACACATGCACCCAGTGGATATTGTGCAGATGTGGTGTTACCTGATCACCGCCGCTGCTCCGCGCCGCGCGCTCCGGCCCCAGCGAGGGGGGGACGATTATTAACCGCGGGACCACGATCACGCATCCACCGCAACGGACCGTTCCGCAAACCCCGCACGAAAACGCCCCCGTGCCTTTGGCGGCGCCGGCCCCGCCCACTGATGGCCCGTCAACGAAGAGGGGCGGGGTCTGCGCCTGTCACTCCAGAGAAAACTCGCGGGTGGCTTCCAAACAGCCTGATCAAAAACACTACCACTGGTTTAGATGCATATGTTGCATTTTGACCCCACACAAGTTTACATTAGTAGTTACAGTTAAGTTATCTTAGGATCGATGCTTATGCTTTACTGCAATAAGCTAATATGCAATAAGGAAATAATTTCAAACATTAATTTTTTGCCATGGATTTGTGAGGCACTTTGTTTTGGTAAGTGCTGTACAAATAAAGTTCTTACAAAATAAAGTTATTAAGATACGATACAATAATACTCTTTTACTCCCACTATAGGGGAAATTGCTGCAAAGGGAACAGTAAAACTAGACACTCAGTAAAAAGTCATAATTAGCCAAAATAAAGCTCAATATGTATGCATGGAAATATATAAATAAATAAAATTATATATTAAGTGAGTTAAACACATTGTCTGGTGTGCACAAGAGTTGGTTGTGACTAGTGGCTTTAGGTGTTAGGAAAGGAAATAAATTATTTAGTGATTTTTTTATGCTCAGTTGTAGGTTATTAGAATAATGCCCATGAATTTCTCACTTACAAATTTCTCACTGACTAACAAACCATCAAAAAGGGACTTTCAACTATCATCCTACAATTCTACACCTTATTTATACTGCACCATTATCATTGCTAATAGTGCATCTTAAAAATAATTCAAGATGCAGTGAATCGTTTTAGAACACAGTCTGTCCTTTTTATGAATAGGTTTTGTTTTTTTATGCCACATAAGCTATTTTTTATTATTATCTATCTTGCATGGTCAAGTTTGGGAAGCAATCAGGCATTGCCGCGGACTACCCGAAACACGGGGTCCTCGGTGGAAGGACCCCGCAGAGAAGTAAACACAGCAGATGTTGAGTTAATTGAGCCGCAGTCATCGATTTTTAGATGAATTAACTTTGTTGCAACGTGTAAATTATCCGCAGCGCGATGGCAGAAGACAACGAGCTGGAAAAGTAAGAGTTGTGATTTTTCTGTTCATCGCTAGTGAACGTGTTTATCCGCTGTTTGCTCACATTTCTCCCAGTTTTTAATGGAAAACCCTGACACCCGTCCATCAGGAGGAGGAGGGGGGGGGTATGGTTTGGTCGACAGCTGTTGTTTATATCGTGTTGAAGGAGGAGAGAGTGTGTGTGGCGGCTGTAAGAAGATCCTGCTAATAAAACAGATAGTGTTAGCTGCCGGAGCTGCGTGGTTAAAGGTCGGCTAAAGCCAGAGCGTCTCCTCCGCCGAGACTCTGCTGATTCAGCCGCTCGGGTCAAACCAGGACACCGCCGCTGTCTGTCCCCCTCCATCCACTCTCTCATGATTCACTTTCTCCTCCGCAGACCGCATCACTTTGTTTTCTCTCGCTTAATTAGATTATTCTCCTCTGAGGCTTAGTGCCATGTTTGTCCTCCACTTCTCCCTCCACCTCCTGAGCCCTCTCTCTGTTTCTCCACCCAGGCGTGCGATCGAGGAGCTCCTCAGGGAGACTGACAGGGCTCGGGTGAGAGCAGAGACCATGGGCCCCGCAGGATGGTGAGCACCGTTTGTGACATCCCATCTGTTTCACCCTGCGTGCATCTGTCATTTCTGGACATGGAGCTGCTACTTATCGGCTTAGTTGTACTGCACTGGGGGCAAATGTTGTTTTCTGAGTGTGCAGCCTGTTTGTGGTGTGTGTAGATCCCCATGATGAAAACAAGAGCAGCTACTATCCTCTGTGTCCACATCAATGTGTTTACAATACGTTCATAGAAAATCCACCACGGTCTCAAAAAGTATTTATGACAAACAACGAGATAAGACAAAAAAAACCCTCAAATTTCTACACGATCCAGACGTCACTGTAATATTTTCACTTTAGAGAATTGAAATCTTCATTTTAATTATCATTATACAATTCACACCCCCAGTGGCAAATCAAAGTCGACTGGATAGCTCATCTATTGAAATCTTTTAGATCAAAACTAGTGGGAGGTAAAATGGTTTGTCTACTAACCAGAAAGTTAGTCATTATAATAAAATATACATCTTTCTTATCATGGTTCCAGATGAGTGTAATTAAACATTAAAGTCAATATTTCAATGTGTGTAGTTCCTGGTCATTCCCAAAACATTATTGTAATGATACTGATAAATTGAGAATTTGTTTTTGCTATTCATCTACACCTCATCAAATATATTGTTTACTTGTTTTATTTTGAATAATCAAACCAAATTTGATAAAAGCCTTGATATTGAGCTTTATTTAAGGAAGAATTCTGCTTAAGATCAACATCTTTTTTTATGGTAGAAATCTAGCATCCTCAATGCCTTATTAACAATAACATTGGGTTGATGCCTGATATAGTTGTTCATGATCACATCCCGTATCATCAAGATAAAACAAACACATGTCAGACCGTTACGTCAGGGTTAAAAACTTTGTTCACTCCTCTCAGGTTAAAGTGTCCCCTGCGGAGCACCAACAAACGCTTCCTCCTCAACACCCTGCGCTCCACCGGCCTGCAGCGGCGCTCCAGTGAGCCCAGAGCCAGCCACTCTTCCACAAGTTCACACCCGAGGAGCAAGAGTCAGGACAGAAGCCTTGACCGCAGCAGATCACCTCCCAGAGATCGAAGGAGCATTGGAGGCCACACAGAACAAAGAAAGCATCACAGGGACAGCAGAAAAAATAAGGACAAAACAGAGGAAAGAGACAAAGAGAGGAGTCACAGACACAGAGACAAAAGAGACAGGAAACACGGGGACGACGGACAGAACAAACACAGACTTCGTGAGTGAAGCACTTCTGCTTATAGAGGAGGAACACTGCTTTACCAGAAACCACTTCCTTTCCAGGGAGGACAGAGGTGATCACACACCTCACAGAGCTGCCGAGTCGTGTTCCCCTGGCTGTTAAGGAGGCAGAATGGACACTGAATTTAACTTTTTACTAATTCAAGAAGACCAAACTTTTTTTCCTTACAGAGAAACAAGGTGGACAATTGTCTTATACATTAGTTAATTCTTTGTTAAACTTTGAATTTATCAATATATTTAAGGTTTAGATTGATTTCTTTACATCGCTCACACATCCAGTAGTTAAGATAAAATAGTTATAATTTTCTTTAGAAATACTAAAAGGGCCATTACAGCTCAGGATATAAGAGCCTTTGATTTTTTTTCCATGACCTCCCCTCTCAAATGACTCATGGTTTGTTGTAATTCTATTCCACTTACAGTAAATGAGGATTGATTTCAATTATAATGTCATAACCATTCTCCTGTCATTCACTGGCCTTAATGTTTACATAAGCTGTGCGACTGTCGCCACTGGGTAAGCACGTTTTATCACGTGTCTAACTTTTTGACATGTATGCACTGGCTATCAGAAATGCTTCTGTTTGTCAAAGGACTTTTTTTATTTTCTTGTTTTCCTGACACTCCTGCTTGTGCCCGTGTCCTCAGATACAACATGAGTAGGTTAATTTAATTTTAATTTAATTAAAAAAAATTTGATTAGGCTGTAAAAGAAATAATAGCTAAAACTACTATGACAATATTAACACTGTGGCTAAACTTGTACATAAATCCACTATTTCAGTGTTTTAGTGGGGTCATTTGGGCCTTTTGAAAACAGATGGATTTGCTCAAGTGTTGAAAATGTAGTGCTGTTTATATCTTTCCTATCCATGCGGTCAAAGTTAGGCTTCCTTCATTTTATTGTTCCTCATCCTCTGCATTTTATAAACGTCTTTATGTTCACATATTACCCACATGTCTATTATAGCAAAGTGAAGCTGCATTACTGCTCGCTTAAATCCATTATGCAGAAAAATTCTGTCTGGAAAGGCGACTAAATTGCGTTTAACACCCCTCATGCTTCATAAATCACAGTGTCCTTCTCCACTGTAGTGGAGGAATAGCTTCGGTTAACTGTTTCCTTCCTCTTTGCAACAATGATCAAATATAAACACCATTAAGCCATAGTGCAGGGGGGGTGATTTATATAGAATTGGTTTACTTGAACTTTATTGCATCTCTGAGTGCCCCATTAAGATACAGTGGAAAATGCTGCACTTGCTTTTGAAGAACTCAGTGCAAATAGTGTGTAGATAAAACGCTATCAAGTTAAAAGCCTCGTGTTGCTGCAGCTTACATGAGAAATAGGAAAATTACACTGATCTTATAGCAGAGGCTCAGGATGTTGCATCAAGGCGCAGGTCAGGTTGTGGAGACATGCTCCGTGCACTCGCTGGTTAATTGAGTTCTGTTGCTCTCTCCAACCTAATTGGTTTTACCATGAGGGCTGCTGTTAAATGGGGCGAACACACACACACACACACACACCTGCTAATGGCCAGCAAACATGGTGAGAGTGCAGCAGGGGTAAAGCGACGCTTGTCAAGGGCCCATCGTGCAGGGGACACTCGCTAAATGGTGTTAAATGATGCATTTGCAGAAGTGTCATGGGAACATTTTAAAAGTCACGAAGTAGAGACAAAAAGGAGGAGGAGGGAGCGAGGTGATGTTTGAGCTTTTTCTCCACAGTTTCCAAGACAGCTGTCTCTCCATGCAGGTCTCTTATCTCGCAGGTCAACCAATGTTTGCGCCCATCCGCATCGATTTATCTGCTGCAGTGTGCAGACAGGAGATACATCCATATAAATTGTCGATGGGTGCATTTGTTTGAGGGCAATCCAACATGAGAAACTGTGGTGCACTCTAGACTAAAAAGTGACACCTTTGACCAGTTTCTTTAGGCATGGATGTAGGGTCCCTCAGCTTGTGTGGCTGCTGAGGGGGCACACACATGGGTGCAGGTTGGGGTATTTACAGAGGGACATTGATTAACGCGCTCACATGCGTTCCGTTCAATTTACTAAAGAAGAAAAAAAAAAACACAAGATGTACAATATCCTGGAAACTGAGAGTCTATAGCCAGGTCTGTCGTTGTGAGCAAACAGTGAAACCAATGGCCTGTGCGCTGCGGAGTCACATGGTGGCAGAGTGACACACCTGTGTGGAGCAGTGAGGGGCCACGCAGTTGCGCCAAAGGCAGGTGAGAGCAGAGGAAGGTCCACGCACGCCGAGGTTGGGCGCAGCAGCTCCGGTACATGTGCGCGCAAACGGCCCCACAGCCCCGGGTCCTCGGCAGCCATGAATCGGGAAGATCATTACTACCCCTCGCAGGTTTTTAAAGACTCCTGCGCCTACCAGAGACCGCAGGGCGAGGACTACAGCCACAGCCCACCGCCCTGCCTCTACATGAGCAGGCAGGTCCACTCCATCTACACGCCGCCGGCCATGGGAGTGCTGGAGCAGGCCGGTCTCTCTGACATCGCCCCCTCTTACAGTCTGCCCGGCCTGAGAGAGGACCCGGGTGTGCCACAGCTCCACCACCCGCAGGGGCTCCAGCAGCAGACCCTCCAGCCCGCCGCAGGCTACGGAGACGCGGTGGAGCAGAGCAGATATCACCTCCCTTTCCCCTGGATGAAAACTACAAAATCCCACTCACACACCTGGAAGGGACAGTGGGCAGGTAAATCCTCAAGCCAATACATATCAGTAACTGACATTTATTAATATGTATTAAAATAACACAATTTAATTCAACCGAATCTCAACAGGGGGGTTCTCAGAGCAGGCCTCTCTTACAGTGTAACTGCTCATATACAAGTCTTCAATTCAAAATCCATGTTCGGTTTTTGTTTCCAACATTACTCTGTAGTCATAGCACTCACAACTGAATTTACAGAGTCTCTCTGACGCCTGAATAATGAATCATGCTCCCAACAATATGATCCTGGGTGTTTCAGTTTACCTTGTCAGTCAATTTGTAAAAGGCCCGGAAAGCCAGTGCTTGTTTTTTTATTTTTTATCAGATCTTATCGTCACAAAAATGTAGGTTTTGTCTTCACACCACGTTTCACAAATCTCTGTATCACAAACCCACAATAGATGGATACTATAAGACTATAACAAGATGCTAAAACACCCAAATCTGCCACATCCATGTTTGATTAATGATTTTAAAAGACCTATAGAGATTTCATATTCACAGTGATTTTAAACTTTGCAGTTTAAATGAAGTAAATGAATCGTTTAACTTTATAAAGGCATCCTGTCAACATGGCGCTATGACTTTATTAAGATTTGTGCAAAGTATTTGGGTTTTGCGATAAGGGAAAAAATACGTGCTTGTTTTGTTTTCCTGCTAAAAGTTTCCTGGAGCCTTTTCTTATGAGAGAAAATTCTCAGATAATCTGACAAACATTTATTCAGTTTCAGTAAATTTATACACAGGACATTTTAACTCTGAATCTTTAAAGCCAATCACATCTCTCCTCTGACACAGTTTCCTGTTTTTACGCACAGCTTCTTTGACTAAAAAAAAAATCAAACCTATTTTGGACATAACGTGTATTTTCTTTACCTGGTTAATTACGATTTTTAAAAAAATCAATAATAATAATCAATGCAAAATATTGTGATATTGAAAAATATACTTTTCTGACAAAGTTGCTGTTGTGGGAAACTTAAAGAAATGAGCAAATACTATTTTTGTACCATGAACCGTCAATGGCTAAACACGATTTCTGTATTCATAAAAAGGTTCAAATTAAATTGTAAGTGTGTAACAATAAATCAAAATGCAGCCTCTTCAGTTTAAACTGACACAAAACACATTTGGGGATTTTATACCCATATATCAAATTAACACTGATTCTTGGAGAAACATTTCTAAAGGTAATCGGGGTATAATTGCACAATACTAATGGATAAGGCTGAGCAGAATGATTTCTAATAAGAATGAGTTTAAGGTGAGACTTTGGTGCTGTTGGTTAAATTGGAAAATGTATTAACTTTTCACACTCTCACCCCCACTGCATCCAAAAGACATCAATTGCACATAAAATCGTATTTTATAGCCACAGTTACAACTTTAATATGACCAAACCATAACGAAAAATGTCATCTCAACAGGCCCTTTCCCTAAAATTAAAATAAAAGTGAAACAATTTTCCTCTAAGAGCTTATTACAGCTTTGGAGTGTCCCCAGAACACCTGTTGCTTCCAAGTTCCAGCTCGGGCTGAGGAAGTATATTTAGAACAAACCTGATTGTAAATTCCTTATAACATTACATGTGAATAAGTGTTTATTTTAGTTGCTATCATAAGGCAAATATACACTGTGGTTTCTGCAGGAGCCTGCTGGATCGCATGCACGTCCAGTTAAGCATGTAGGTCATCACAATACAAAAAGCAACAGGTTAAATTATTACAAATTGAAATTATAATCCAATCAAAAGTGATAATTAACCTTTGCATGCCTCTGTAAACACTTTGTGCGTCACTATAGGTGCATACGTGATGGCTGAGACCGAGGAGAACAAGCGCACCAGGACTGCCTATACACGCGCACAGCTGCTAGAGCTGGAGAAGGAGTTCCTGTTCAACCGCTACATCTCCAGGCCGCGCCGCGTGGAGCTGGCGCTGACGCTCAGCCTCACCGAGCGTCACATCAAGATCTGGTTTCAGAACCGGCGCATGAAGTGGAAGAAGGAGGAGGACCGTAGAAAGGCCAGGGGCCCGGACCCGGACCAGGACTCCTCTATCACCTCCGGAGACCAGGGGGAGGCCGCTGGAGGCGTCTCCTCCACAAACGGACCTCACGCCGCCTCCCCACCCGTTTCCCCGCTACGCGCTAACTCTCTCTCCGCTGCTGGGTCTCGAGAAACAGCTTAGACCAGCAGAAGGGACTTACTATGTCAACTACGACCCAGAGATACTGCAGGGACCTTTTGAGAGGACTGGTTAAACTCATGTTCCCCTTCTGCTCATCTCCTTGACCCTCACTGGATGTCACACTTGGATGTTTCCTATATGGGCTGAGGGGACATTGCTTTAATCAACCTCTCCATGCATACTATCACCTCCCTTCTGTTTAGAGGCAGCGACATGGATTCAGTTGCACAAACTTGTTTGTCAACTCACTCATACAAGAAGCCTGTATCACCATCATACTTAGGAATGTAAATACACATGACTGCCAGGAAGAGGTTATATATTTGCAATGATCACACGTGTATATAAGCCTACAGTGTAAATTCTAAAACTATAATCGATGATCCTCGTATTGTATTATTTAAAAGAATCATTTCACAGTATGAACAGCCTGTCACATGTAAATTTAGAATAAAACAAATATCACAACATGTGATAAACTTGCACAAGTGAGATTCAATATAAACTCCAGTAGTTCATGGAAACCCAAAATGCACAATTTGAGGAGATTGCTATAAAGCCTGTGTCGTTCATAAGGCAGCTAACTTTGGACAGAGTGAAACAGCATTTTTACTAATGTCCCAATACTGCGATCTTCTTCAAGGACCACTGTTAGCCATCAGAGTGTCACAGTTGGACGTTGCTTTATCCTATATCTTAATGCACATATCACCACATCCCCTCATTTCTGTTTCGAAACAGCAACATGGATACAGTTGCACAAACCTATCTCTCACCTCAGAGATGTAAAAGCCTGTATAGTCACCATCATGCTTATGTAAATATACATACTATGACTGTCAGGAAGAGTCAAGTGTAAAACTAGAATCAGTGATCCACATTCTTTAATTTATGGATTAATGGCACTCATAAATTTGAAATAATACAAAAGCATGTGTAGGTTTGATGGCACTGAAAAGCTTATGGGTCATGGTGCGTCAGGGCGCACGAGGCCTTGGAGACGCAGGCGGCAGATCTTCTTCACCTCCTCGATGCCGCGCGCCCTCTCCACCGTGCACTCGTCCTGACAGCGCTCAGACAGCTGCCGTAAAATATTTGTCTTGTCGTTCATCCTAGCGCAGATGACGAACGGGAAACCGAACCGCTCTCTGTACTCCTCGTTCCCCGGACTCCAGCGCGTCTAGAGCCCGGCTCCTGCCTGCTCCTCACGCGACTCCCTGCTCAGGGTGCCCCTCTGGAGGTCCCTGCCCGCGAGGTCAGTGTGACACCTAAGGAGGCCTTCTTTACCTGGACACACACGATGACTCAGGTCTGTTAATATAATCTCGATCTGCGCCATTACGCACAGAGTACATGCCATCTATATGCACTAAACGCCCTTAAAGTGCCACTAAACTTTTCAGTGGGGTAGAATCATAAAATAAGACAAGCAGTTATTAAGAAGTAGTTGTTTGTGTGTCACCTGACTCTGGCAGAGCATCGATGAACTCACAAAACGCAGTCTCCAAAGCAGACAAGCTCACAAAGGGACGCCTGGACCACACAGCACCGGCTGTAATGGGAAATTTCTCCACCACGTTACCAAAAATATTCACAAAATCCTCATAAGACAGAGTGTTCACTGTGTTGATGTCCATGTCTGTGTGGAGCATCAGTGCAGTCTGTGACTTTATGATTCACTTAGCAACAGGTAGGACCGGTTCTCCTGCAGCTTTAGGTTAAAAAAATAAATCATACCACCCCTCTATTGGCAACGAGCCATACCAGCAACAACACACAAACACTCATATGCCATAAACATTAAGTTCTAGTGCACTAGTGCAACGCTAGTGTACTCAATATGGGCATTTTGTGGATCCATATCACGAGTCATGGCAACACATAACTGTTTTCCCCCAAAAAATCAAATTTCAGCTACTCAAACTAAAAGATACCAGCGCACATCACTTTTCTTATGTGCATGTTTCATCAACAATGCAAACAACGACTAGAGAGCAAATCAAGCTTGAGAACACAGCGGGCCTTCACCACTGCAAAAGTCTTAACTGCATCCTCAAATTCGATTCTCTGTGCCAGTTCATGTTCTTTGGAGATCGTGGTTCATCACTCCTGTGATCATTGTCGTGCCAGTTCACACAGAAATAACTGAGCTCAGTTCATACAGATGAACATGAACAAGTTCGCGCTCATAATTTTTAAAACAATTTAAAGTAAGTTCACGGCTCCAAAAATGAACTAGTTCACGTTCATTTGATCCATCTTTTATTGGGATGATTTAGATGACAAACAATCATGTGTTTTTAAAGGTACAGTGTGTAGAATTTTGTGATATCTAGTGTTGAAATTTTATGTTGCAGCTGAACACCCCTCACCTCACCCTCCCCTTCCAAACATGAAAAAGAAACTGTGGTAGCCTTCAATTGTCGTGAAAACATCAGAATTATTCCACATGAAATTTCTGCCAATAGTTCCCTTTCACCTAAATCTTACACACTGGACCTTTAATTGATGGTGTTGGATCACAAATCCAGATCCTCTGGTCACTTTGACACTGAGTCCTGACTGTGTGCCTCACATCTCGTCTTGTAATGAACAGTAAAATATTGACAACTCCTTTTTCATAAACTCTGGAGCCAATCAAACAAACACCAAGTAAACTTCAGGTACTGATCAGGTTCTGATAAGGTGAGATGAGTGTTTGTGTTCATTAGTTAAAGTGATAAAGTGAGAGCAGGTCAGCAGGAGAGTGGAGGAGATCACAGGAAACTCCAGCTTGTTACAAATCAACCTTCTGATCATTCAACAGCTGTGGACCAGAGAGGAAACAAGGTTAAGAGACCTGGTGACGCCAAGCGATGACCTTTGACACTGAAAACTGAAGCCAATGCCAACCCCTTGTAATTCCCATAGTTCCCTAATTCAAAAGCCAACACCCATAGACGCACATGGTAACACTTCACTGCAGAAATACACATATTTAAAGCCTGGTGAGTCTTTGAATAATTTCCGCATTCAGTGGGTGTGAATATTCATGCAACTCATGTTTAATTTACTTTAAGGCTTAAATACATGCATATTAACTATGCATGTACTTAAGGGCGTGGCCATGCTGACATTATTGTATGTAAACATAAAAATATACATATATATAGACATATATATATCAATATATAGAAAAATGTAAACACTATACAAGGATACCAGTAATTCACAGTGATATTGCACATGGGAAGTGGAAAAAAATATACATTGAATGTAACAATTTAAAAAGTCAGTATATTGTAGTTTTAGTCAGCGAGGGCTTTCAAAGAGGATTTCTTACCTCACAAGTTTCTCAAGTCATGGTTTTGTTTTTTTATAACTAGGAAATTTCAATATTTCAATTTTTTAAATAGTGTTAAAGATTTGTGACGCTTACTACTCACCAAGTTGGTCTGTAGCTGCTGTGAGCAATGGTGACACCTGGTGGATGAAATCTGAAATAGAAGTTAGCCCAAAGAGCATTGAGGCATTCAGGACCTGGAGTTGTTTTATTTCTACTATAAACATTTAATATTAACTCACATTGATTTGTGGATTAAAATCCTTGAATAATAAATGAAAAAAACATTTGGTTTTGCATTTGATTTCTTTATATGACCTCTAAACTATGAATCATAATTCTAAATTACAGTATCTTTTTTACTCTATGTACCCGATACACATTTTTCAGTTTTAGTTACTGTGTAAAACAATAATTAGATGTAAACTTTGTTCCAATTGCGATTCCGCATTATTGGGTCAGGTTGGTATAGGTATATTTGCATCCTACTTATGACATTGGGATATTGCACTTCTCACATATAAATAATTTAAAAAAAAACTGATTAAAACCACATTCTATCCTCTTTCAACTAAGATCTGCTTTAACACCAGTAACAGATATCACAGTGTGTCACATCTGGACTGAAGGGACACTGCTTCTACCCACCTCTCAGTTAATAGAGACAGAAACATATATTCAGTTGCACAAACTGTTGCACGTTGTTTATGTAGTCACTTTACAGTACAGTTTTGCCACCCAGCCATTAACACACACATTCATAAAGTGCATCCATGCGCAGCACTTTCTCTATCACTCAAACAGAATCTTGCCCAAGGACACTTTGGCATGCAGAATCAGAGTGACTGGGATCAAACCCCTGACCCTCTGGTTAGTGGATGAGCTGAGCTCCATGTGTAAACAAGCCTCCATCATGCAATGTGTAAATCAATGATCAACATGTTTTATTCTCCAAAAAGCTCACAGTGTGATGAATGAGAAGCACACTTACATTTGGAATACAACAAGTATCACCACCATGTAAATGTTTGATAGTAATGACAACATTTAGACCGGAGCAGGAAAGATTCCGCAGTGAATCAAAGTCACAACTTGTTTGGTGCGTCATGGCACACAAGGTCTTGGAGACGCAGGTGGCAGATCTTCTTCACTTCCTCGATGCTGTGTGCCCTCTCCACCGTGCACTCGTTCTGACAGCGCTCAGACAGCTGACGTAAAATGTTTGTCTTGTCGTTCATGCGGGCGCAGATGACGAACGGGAACCTGTACCGTTCTTTGTACTCCTCGTTGAGCTGGGCCATGCGCGAGGCTTCAGCAGACTCCAGTGCGTCCAGTCCGGCTCCTGCCTGCTCCTCAAGCGACTCTCTGGTCAGGGTGCCCCTCTGGAGGTCCCTGCCCGCGAGGTCAGGGTGACACCTGAGGATGCCCTCTTTACCTGGACACACAGTGACTGATTATTGCTCTGGATTGTTCATGTAATGTCTATTTGTGCCATTACGCACAGAATAGATGCCATTTGTATGCCACTCAAAAGAGCCACCAAACACAATCACGAGAAAATATTTACAAAACTGAAGGCGTGTGTCTTACCTGACTCTGGCAGAGCATCGACGAATTCACTGAACGCAGTCTCCAAAGCAGACAAGCTCACAAAGGGACGCCTGGACCACACTGCAGCGGCTATGATGGGACATTTCTCCACCACGTTACCAAAAATATCCACAAAATCCTCATAAGACAGCGCGTTCACCTTGCTGATGTCCATGTCCACGTGGGTGTGTGGTTCCTCACCGGTTGCACGGACAGTCTCTGAACTCCACCGAGGTCAATGCACTGGTGGACACAGAACAAGGCCCCTCACGCCTAGCTGTGGTTAATCATTTATTATTGTCATGTCATGTGATGTTGAGGAGACGAGTTTGCTGAAGAGCTGAAACGCAAGGGCCAAAAAAGGAGCACTGGACACAGCACTGATGAATGAAGCGCTCCTCTGAGCAAAGTGACAGATCCTGGCTCTATCACAACTTTTCATTAAACAGGCGCTCACAGAAATGACGAGGTGAAGCACATGAGCTGGATCACACACGTTCTCTCAGCTCAGTCTTCCGGTGCTAAGCTAATAGCCTGCTAATTACCACACGAGCTTCTAATCAAAATATAATATCAACAACCAGTGTCGTAGTACAGTGAAACGTAACATCGGGTATAAGTGATGAGAACTTACGTTGCCACCGACGCACAGTTCAAACAAGAATAGTTTTACTCTTTTACCGAACGAAGAGTTCACTTCTCTCCAGGTAACATGACCTACGCGCATGCGCATGAGGTCTAAGCAGAGCACGAGTCGCCCACCTGGGAAATGCGGAAGTGTCGCACCTGAGGTTCCCAATGATCGTATTTTGAAATGATGGTACACGAGTCGTAAAAAAATAAATGTTTTTGATGCAGCCTGTTTATAACAACCTATAAACCTGACCACAGGGGTCAGAGGAAGTGATGTCAAGTGGAAACACATTAAGTACAGTGAGATGTACAACCTGTGCTGCAGACAGCCACCAGGCGATGACAGAGAGACTTTGGACATCACTCATGTCGTCCATCTTTATAGACATTAGCTTACAGTAGTTCTCCAGCTCCACCAGAGGTCACAAGATGACTGAGCGGAGAGAAGGGAAACAACTTGTCACTCCTAAAATTGAGACTTTCTCAATCCTCTTTGCTTTTATTTTGTTATGAAATACTGAGTAGTTATTCCTCTTAATCATTTAGAAACTACTCAAATGAAAGCGGGCTGTTGATGGTTCAACCATAAGTTCAATCAAACGACTTCATTTTAACAGTTCACAAGCTCGACAGTCAAATCATTTGGGAAGGACAAACATGCATTGCAATCATTTTTAGTTTTTTTATTATTTAATATGTAAAGTACATTTTATTGCAGGTACTATGCCAAAACATGTCAATAAATGTAAAAATATAAATGTGTACAAAAATGGGATTTAAACCCCATGTAGCTGCTGATACAAGAATAAGAGCACAACAAAATCATTGCAATATTTTAAGACAAGGGGTTGTTGCCATGTTGTATACATATATATATAGTACAATTTGATAGCAAAAGTTGATCAGTGACTCCAGTTTATAAACCTGTGAAGTCATAGCTTACATGTCTTCATTATTGCCAAGAGAATATTTAGGATCCTTTTCTGAAAACTGTCTCTTTAATTTTTAGCTGCACAATAAAACATGATAGAATAAAACAAATACTGTATTTACGTTCGGAGCTTGTTTTCATGGTAATTAGCTGAAATTTGAATGCAAAGCACAATTAAAATGTATGTTCAGTTTATTTGAGAACATGTGTGATTCCACTATATTTTATTAATTTACAAAGACAAGAACTATCTTCTGTAACTTGTGGGGTTATAATGAGAGGAAGAATATTGTATAAACAGTTTTTGACAAATTCCATTCAGTTAGAGGCGATCACTCTGTATCCGATGGCTTCAAAAGTTTCTCCTGAGCTGCCACAGTGTCGGACATTTCTGCTTTGCTCTCTTGGGCTGCTTGGATTTGACAGTAGTCATTCACTGACTGCGTCTTCTTCTCCTCCTGCTTTGCAGAGGCAGAAATGTCCAATACGGTCAGTGCATTCTGGTAATCGCTGGACGTCTGGTCAAGGATGTTGTGGTAGAGCTGAGAGGGGAAGGAGGTTGGTTAGGTAGAGCTAACAGCTTAAACTCTGCTTCAAGTATAGATTCTAAATGCACAAAATATATTGACCTTGCTTTGCAGACCCACCTTCTCCTCTCTGTCCATCAGCTGCTCACACATGAATGACACCAGTTTGGAGAAAGTAGGACGGTCACAGGGATCCAGGGCCCAACACTTACACATCATCCCGTACCTGCAGGACAAAGACAAGCAAAAAAAAGTTGTATACATAGTACTATGAAGCTGTTGAAAAGAGACAGACTGGAATATTCTTACTGCACTGCACAAACTATCGCTCTGAAATGTAGTAAAGTCGAAATATAAAATACAAATAGTAAAGTAAAGTACAAATATCTAGAAGATGTTCATTGCAGGTACAATCTATGTTGTAAAAAACCTCCACCAGCATCCAGTATACTCTCTTTTATATACTGTATTTTATTGTTTTTTCCCTTTCTTTGTAATTATTGGGCAGATTATTGAAATATCAGTTCTGTGTTGTACAGTGTCAATGCGGACACCCACACAGACTCATTGGCGTAGTACGGACACTCCATCTTGAATCCTCTCTCAATCATTGAATAGAACGCGTGATCCACCTTCATCCCGGGATACGGAGTGACACCTGAAACCAACAAATAAAAGGAGATTTCATGTTTCGTATTGTTGCGCGAGCTATTTTCAAAGTGCAGCTCATGGAGAGTATTCAACTGTGAAAGCTACCGAGTGAGAATATCTCCCAGAGCAGGATGCCGTAGGCCCAGACGTCACTCTTCATGGTGTACATCCCATGAAAGATGCTCTCTGGTGCCATCCACTTCACTGGTAAACGCACCTGAGGGACGACAAAGTCAAGTCAATTGTCGCATGATGTGCAAGAAGTAATAGATGATGATGTCATTGTTTCACATACATTTCCTCTCACGACGTAGTTGCAGTCATTGTCGATGTCCCGGGCCAAACCAAAGTCACCAATCTTCACCAGTCGGCCTTTTGTCACTAATACGTTGCGAGCTGCCAGGTCTCGGTGGAGACACTGCAGGTAGACAGGACCGGATGGAGTATATTCACTCACACAACACATAACACATAACACATACAAAGACTAGTGGTGCTGCAACTAAAATATTTAATCATTAATTACTGATTATTTTCTGTTTTGATAGTTA